TTGTCTCAAGCCATAAGATGGGATGCTGACTGATGCTGTTTGTCCTCTCATCATGCCTCTAAGCTGCCTGAGAGGAAGAAGTGAAGGGCTAGCTTGCCCCATCTCATTGCTGCTGAGTGGACAGGAAGTCCTTCCTGCTGTGCTGTGCTGACACCACAGTGTTGGGATGGGGCTAATTTGACTGTATTAGGATGGTTATTATAAAAAAAAAAGTTTTCTCTTCTGCTAAGCCACTTTTTACTTGGTCCTTTGTCCAGTAACAATAAGCTTTTCTGCAGGCTTCCCCGCCTCAACCCTAATTTTTGGTTCCACATTGTAAGCTTCTCCAGTGCCTCATATAGGATATAGACAAGCTACAAGAAAACATAGGGACATTGCAGTGGTGAAATTCAAGCTCTAAGGTTCCTAGCCTCTTGTCTGCCTTCTTTCTGTCTTGCAGTCTTCCTGTACTTGTTTGTTATATTGTCTGGGGTGTTTATTGTTATAAGAGGGAGGACCTCCACTTTAAGTCCTTCACTTTGGTCCAAGGCTGGGTGGCTTGATTGATTAATTAATTTATTACTTTTCTAATGGTCAGAAATGACTGATCTCTGGCCAGTAGAAAATGGGTGAAAGTGAGATGCTCTTTCTAGGCCTGGCCCATAAAAACCTTGTTATTCACAACCACATCAATGTTTATAGCAGCACAATTCACAATAGCTAAACTGTGGAGCCACCCTAGATGCCCTTAAGTGAATGAATGGATTAAAAAAAATGTGGCATATATACACAATGGAATTTTACTCATCAATAAAAGAGAATAAAATCATGGCATTTGCAGGCAAATGGATGCAGTTGGAGGAGATAATGCTAAGTAAGGTTAGCCAATCCCAAAAAACCAAATGGCGAATGTTTTCTCTGATGTAAGGAAGCTGACTCATAGTGGGATGGGGAGGAGGAATAGATGAATTCTAGATAGGGAAGAGGGGTGGGGAAAGGGATGGGGCGCGGGATTAGCAAGGATAGTGGAATTTGATGGACATCATTGTCCAAAGTACATGTATGAAGACACAAATTGGGTGTCAACATACTTTATATACAAACAGAGATATGAAAAATTGTGTTCTATATGTGTACTAAGAAGAAAGAAAACAAACACAGCATTCTGCTATCGTGTATTTAAAAAAATAAAATCAATTAAATTAAAAAAAAAAACTTGTCATTTTCCATGTTATATCTTCTGCTTGCTTACTAGATGCATGTGTCTTATATTCTTTTAGGAGATGATTACTCTGACCAGGAAAGGAGACAGACTTAGGAAAATTTATTATATTATACTCACAAGTCTATAGACAGAAGGCAAGGCATAGACACAGGGCCACTTATGAAGGACACCAGGGAGGCCAGGAGGAAGAAGGTAAGAGCAAGGGGAAAGCTCTAGACCAAAGTCTTTATTGGGTTTTCTGTGGGAAAAATAAGGCAGAGCAGGGTCAATAGGTTAGAATGGTTAGTTTGAATAATTTTCAAAGAGTGTTCGCTAATTGGAATGATTAAGACAGAGGAACATTGTCTCCTGGGTTGTCCTGACCAAAGACAAAGTGGTCTTGGCTCTAGATTGGTGAGTTTGCATATTGCAGTTATCCTCTGGCCCAGCTTTTGTAATTTTTAAGAATTGGCTAGCCTTGGGAGGGTGCAATCTCTTCCTAGCAGGGAATTGTTTTTTATTTTTATTTTTGTAAAGATTTCCAAGCACCATAATATACTGAAACTCATACACACTTTTGATGGAGTTACATCTCAGTAAATCCCTTATAAGTTGAAAATATCATGTCAAAAATGTATTTTGC